ACGTGTTTGAGGGGCAGGTGGCTGACTACAACACGTGTGCATATCAGGGTGATGAACGTGTGAGGTGGTACAAACCTGGACGATGGGCTGGACGGTTGTTGGACCTGAAGAGATTGAGCAAACCATGCACCTGTGGTCAATGGGTACGACATGAACCCCTGGTGGGGGCAAAGCGCGCATCTCAGGCTGCTCAATATCCCAGGAAGCTTTGCGAGGAGTACTGCAAGCTCGTGATCACAGCCTTCAAGCACACGCTGCAGTTGGAGTACTGGCGCAACAGGCTGGCCACCAAGACGGAGGAGGTGTCAGATCTGAAGCGGAAATGGCTGTTGAGCAAAGAGCGAATCTATCAGGGACATCCCGACGGGCGCAAGTACGAGTTCGAGTCGCCGCTGGATCCGGAACTGTGGGATGCCTGGTTGAGGGCAGCAGCAGATCCGGAAAAGCGCCCGGTGGAGTGGATCCGGAAGGGTGTGCCATTGGGTATGAGCAAAGATATCCCTTGTTGTGGTATCTTCCCCATGGCTGACGACCCGGACCTGGACATGGAAGAGATGCCTGAGTTAGCTGACCAGTTAGGAGCGGTTAACTACAAGTCGTTCACCGAGGAGCCAGTACATGCCAGGGCTGAGCTGGGACGGCTTGTGGAGGAAGGCTTTGCGGTGGTCCTCCCGACGGGAAAGGCGCAGGAAATTCACAAGCATGGCATTGTCTCGAAGCTGGCGCTGATCATCAAGAAGAAGGACGACGGGAGTGTTAAGAGGCGGATTATAATCGACCTTCTTCGCTCTGGAGGCAACGCCAGGTGCCGGGTGCCCGAAAGGATCGTGTTGCCAAGGGCGGTGGACGTGATCGAGAGCTTCAGGTACTTGTGGAGCACCAGGGACCGCATGAGGGGCAAGTCGAGGGACGAAGAGTGGGAGCTGGACGAAGACAGACCGGACGGAGGCATCTTTGACTTTGAGCTGGTGACAGTGGACCTGAGTGACGCGTACTGCCACCTGCCGGTGCATCCTGAGGAGCATCCGAACTGCTTGAGCCCGGGACTGCGCCAATCTGAAACGCTCATGTGGGTCGCGATGTTATTTGGCTTCAAAGGTGCACCTCTACTTATGGGCAGGTTTGCAGCATGCCTCGCACGGATCTGGCAGTCACTAGTGGCTCCGTCTGAGATGCAAAGTCAACTGTACATGGACGATCCTATGTGGATTCTTCGTGGACCGACTTCCCGACGGAACAGGAACCTTGCGCTCTTGCTCTACACCGCGAGAGCCTTGGGAATAAACCTCGCTTGGCACAAGGGTTCACGAGGATCTCAACTCACTTGGATCGGGGTGATGTTTGAGGTTGTCCAGGCACAGGCAGTGATCAAGCTCACGGCCCCCAAGAAGATGATGGCGGAGGTGTCACAGGCTTTGGAAGCTTGCAAAACAAGGGGGATGGTGAGCTTCAAAGAGGTGCAGCAGCTGACGGGCAGACTTTCATGGATAGCTGGCATCCTCCCAAGAACACGGTGGGCAGTCTCGATCATGTATGCAGTGCTTTCAGATGCCAAGCGGTCTGAAAATGAAGAACGACAAAGAGCTGCCAAACGTGTCGACCAGAGACCCAAGGTGGGACTCATAGCAGTCAAGCGGCTTGAGCTTCCGAGGAAGTGGTTCGTCACGCTGTTCAAGGAGCCAGAGGTCTTGGCGCTGCGGACGGAGCCGATGGTGGAGCTGCTGCCTGACTAAGCCATCATCACGGATGCGGGACCGACTTTCACGATCATTGAAGGTTTGGAGATCCCGCTGGAGGCGGATGCAAAGTGGCTGGGCGCGCCGTGGAAAGAGTCGGCGTCACAGGGGCCGCTGGAAGCATGGGCGGTCAAATTGGCAGTGCGGAGGTGGGCCACGAGACTGGAGAACAAAAGCATCTTGCTGCGCAGCGACAGCGTGGTAGCACTGGCCATGACCAAGAGGCTGTCGTCACCATCCCCAGTAGTGAACTGGGTGGGAGCTGAGCTGGCGATCAGGTTCGACAAGCACGGCATCAAGCGAGTGGTGACGCAACACATTCCTGGTAACTGGAATGTTGAAGCGGATTGGCTTTCCCGACCTCATGAGCGAGGACAAAAGCCAGAGCGGCTGGAAAAGGTGCCGATCAAGACATTCCCAAGGAACTTGATGCACCGTTCATACCTGTCTCCGCCTGGGATGGCACCACACCTGTGGGGCGCCACCGCCCAGCAGGTCTCAGGAGCCTTCGAGCTGCTGTGAAGGGATGAGGATGAAAAGTTTTCGTCCATCATTCTCGGCTTGAGGGGGGGGAGACAGGGTGGGAAAGCGGGAGGTCGAGTGTCGATGTCGGTCGTTGTCGTTTCGTCGATGGCACTTGACGGACCAGGTGTGCTCGAAAGTCGCCGGGGGAGCTCATCATGGCTCAAGTGATGGTGCGACAAGAGGCGGCCCTGACGGCGGGAGACGACTCTCCGGAGTGGTCTTTCGGCGAATACGCCGTACTGGCTGGCTGGGCCTTCTTCGTCCTGAGCCTCTTGAAAGGCCTGTGGGGAATCCTCTGGTGGTGTCAAACTCCGCGGAAACCAGGCAGCGAGGACAGGGCGGAGAAGACGGGCGCTCAAACATGTTCTCAGCTGTGTGGCAGAACAAGAGAAGAAGAGGAGCCGAGAAGAAGCCACTCCCCAATGAGAGGAGGTTCCGGGAAGAGGCAAATCAGCGTCACCCCAGAGAGGAGGCGAGTGACAAACTCGTTGATGGAATCCCCGGGAAAGTCACCAGAAATTCAGGGGGCTCGAACACAGATCCTCGAAGCCATGGTACAGCGGGCTCAACCAGTGGTGCAAGACCTTCACGATATGCACCGCCTTGGTGGAGTGGGTCCGGGGCCAATGCTGCGACGTGGATCCCGCACTCAATGAGCACAAGGAGAACGCTGGGGGTGATGGGCTTTGGAGTCATGGACCCCTCGAACTGCATGAATCAGCTAATTCGGAATAGATTGCAAAGGGAAACTCGCCATTTTGGCGAGACGTCAAGAGAAGGGAGACCAAAAGATGCAAGACAGGGCGGAGCTGAGCAACATCATGGAACAGAGGGCAAAACAGGAGCCGGAAAGAAGGGTTCCTTCGATGAAGTCATGGACATCCTGAAGGGCAAGGAAAGACTAGCAAAGGCCAGGCAGGAGTTGAGAAAGGACTTCATGGCAGACTCGTCCAGGGCGTCACAGAAAACCAAACAGGAACAAGTTCTAGCCATGGCCATGGAAGCCTACGACTCGAAGCTGGGCCCCTTTCCACTGACGATTGAGACGGTGGAGAATGTAGCGGCTGCCATAAAAGCGGTTGGCTGGACGTCCGGTGACCAGTACATCAATGAGCTGAAGTTGATGCACATCGAGGCTGGTTGGGACGTGAGTCAACAGCTGGGCAGAGCGCTGACTGACTGCAAAAGGTCGCTCAAGAGGAACAGAGGCCCGGTGAGGAGAGCTCCGGAATTCAAGCTGGAGGACATCGAGCACATGAAATGGATTCTCACCTGCAGGGGCCCCAAAAGAACAGTGAGGCCAGCGCTGTCCTACGCCTGGGCGGTGATTTGGATGCTGAGAGAAATCGAGGTGAGCGCGATGAAATGGAAGGACGTCTCGGCTGACTGGAGCAGGAAGCGGATATCCATCTTCATCCCCATCTCGAAGTGCGACCAGCAGGCACTAGGAGTCAGAAGGACCTTGCAATGCTGCGCCAACAGGACCTGCCAAAGATGGCGCCCTTGGAGACTTTGGCTAGAGTTATGGAGAGCGCTTCATGGAGACCAAAGAGAACCAGGCGAGTTTGTCTTTCAAGACGTAGAGGGCAAGAAGTTGTCAAAAGCAAAGATGGTGGAAGGTTGGGCCAAGGTAACGGTGCCGGAGATCCAAGGGCACTCAGCCAGAAGATCAGGCGCGATGGGCTATGTACGCCTTGGCATGCCCATCCAGGAGCTGGCATTCTTGGGACGGTGGAAATCTTCAGTGGTGTTGACTTACGCTGAGGACGCACTAGAGTCCGAGCCGGCTAACAAGAACCTGAAGCGGGAGGACGATGCCAAACCTAGGAAACAGTCGAAGCTTCAGGAGGTTGATTTGGGAGATGTCACAACGATGGTTCCGGGACTTCCCACAGGTTCATCCGTGAAGAGGACAACAGAGGAGAAAAAAACCGAAGAGAAGGGAAAGTGCAACGTGGTAGTTACAGAGCTGCCAAAAAGGTTGTGGGTAGCATCAACTGCGTATGGTTCCAGAGAACGAGTTTGGCATCAAGTGGAAGAGGCTGGATGGGATGTGCCAATTGAAACATGGACGTCAATATGCGGCTGGCCGTTTAGCAGAAACTCTTCAAAAGTGATCCTCAACACCCAGCTGACGATTGCTCAAGGAAAATGTAAGAAATGTTTGAGGAGAACTTGCGGCGCAGCCAAAGAGGTCGAAAGGGCAAGTTCAAAATGACTTGTGAAGGCGGTGAAACTGGAAAGACAATCCAGTTGACAACCGACCAAAAGGAGCACGCCTGCCACGATAGTGATGCAGTTGTGAAAGGTGGGAGGGTGGGTTAGCCACTTTCCCACTCTGTTTGTCGTAGAAGTTCAAAATGAACTGATTGACAAAACAGAGTTTTAGAAAGAATTGGAGGGAGGGGGGGATTGAAACGTTCCTCACTGTTGAGCCTCTAGGCTCAAAAGGCCTGGAGAAAGCCCTCTCTTGTTTTGCCCACCCACCCACTCCTAGCAAAACAAGCAGGGGTGAGGTCGAAAGGGCAAGTTCAAAATGACTTGTGAAGGTGAAACTGGAAAGACAATCCAGTTGACAACCGACCAAAAGGAGCACGCCTGCCACGATAGTGATGCAGTTGTGAAAGGTGGGAGGGTGGGTTAGCCACTTTCCCACTCTGGTTGTCGGGGCAGTTAGCTTACTGTAAGCGTGCCAGGCTGAGCGTGGCCGTGTGTAAAAGGAGTCTCTGGACCGTGCAGGCTGGCAGTGATGAAACGCTGTTCAAGGCAAGACCTTTTGAACTTTTGACTGTGCCAGAGCAACTCATGCTTGATTCAGTGACCACATCCCCACACCGTTTCCATTTGTAGACGTGTGGGTTCGCTCTTCATTTTGCTCTCATATTAACCTTCCATTTGCTGTTGGAGTTTCCTTTGTAGTGTGTTTGACATTGGCATGGTGATCTGGCTTAGTGGTGGGATTGGGAAAGTGCCATGTGCACCCCTCATTGCAGCATGATGATTTGGAGCATGTGCAGACACAACAAGCATTGGCAAGCACATGATACGTTTGATTTGTTGAAGTTCAAAGGGCTGTATATATATGTCCGGGAATGCAAGGGGCTTTAGCCTTAGCAGAATGGCTTGAAAAAGTTTGAGCCTTAGAGAGTAACACCCTGAAATGGAACAGATCTAATCTTGAACTGTATTTGTGTCGCGCCATGGCGGGCCACGATAATTGCCATGACAATGAGGACGGACGCATTCTTGGTGTTCAGAATGAAGTGTAGCAATGCCATGTCCGGTGCATCAGGAGGCAGAAGCAGAAGCCATGGTGGGGAGGGCGGGCCGTTTGCAGGGCCGTTTGTAGGGCTAGGTATGCCTCAGGCACGCTGGCCCTGAGCTGTACAGTTTCAGGCGAGAATTGCCAAAGGCCCAGCACCAATTTGTTTCAATCTTTGATACTGTAATGTATTTTTGGTGACAGGTGGTGGAAGCAACATCATCAGGGTATACAGTAACACAGTGTACATTACTTGGAACAACTCATGAACTCATGATTGTCATTTGTTGATTATGGTTGGAGACACTCAGCTCAGCGCAAAAACCACAGCTGCTTGATAAGGCATTGTATCCAACGCAAAAGGTATGAAGAAGGAAAAATCTAGCTTTGCTGACTTTGACTTGAATGGTAACTTGTCGGACGATGTTGGAATTTACTCAACACACTTCCGCGTTTTCCACTCAGATGAAGGCTCTCTCGGCTGGAAGCCTTGAGTTTGCCGCAAGAAACACATTCTCAGCTTTTACTGCCAAAGCGAATCTGGATGGGATGCTTGTGCTTTGCTCTTCTGCAGGTTAGATGGTGAAGGAGAGGCTGGGTGCTTGATCAAGAGTCCTGTCGGAAGATGCACAAAAACAAGCAACAGCACACCGAGGAAGAACAATTCGTACAATTAGGAAGAGGTGGCGGTTGCTCAAACTAAGTGGTTTGCAGGGAGCCCTAAGTCATACACGCAGCGTCTACCCGAAGGTTCAGTAATCATCCAAGGTCTCCAAGGTTCTCCAAAGCCCGCCGAAGTTCAAGTAATGTGTACAACCAAGAAGGCGTGACTGCCAACCTGTTCATTTTGCAACAGCCTGGGTTATCATTGGAATGTGACTACGACATGGTTCGACCATCAAGCACGTACACCAGAGTGATCAAGTCGGGCTTCCACCATTATATAATGCATACTAGTAGCTTCGTTGGCGTGCATTGGCTGTATGCCCCCTGCATATGTGTCTACCTAAACTGCAACGCAAACCGGTGACGACTTCGGCGTTGTCACACACGTAACTAGAGATAGAAGTGCAACCTCAGCCAGTGCTATCGCCGGAGTAAAAGTGCATGCGGTGTGTGTGTGTGTGTGTCAAACCCTGTCCCGAAGGGTTACTGTCTTCACCTTTCCACCACGACTTCAAGCAGGGGAATGCCGCATGGCAGCTGTTTCCCTAGCCATGCCAACGAAGCTATGGGATTCAGCTGGAAGGGAATGTGGACGCACATTCCTGTACCTGCAACGAGAACTGTTTTTCAAGCTGTGACACCACTCTCCACGCTTTGGTTCATTGTCCTTCATGCTACTTCCCCCAAACAGGTTTCCCTCCGCAGCTCTGCAGCAGCTTAGCCGTCGCTTTGAGTGCCACTGAAAACAAGTTTAAACCTTGGTAAACCCTTGTTATGCTAATCACGTGGAGGTTTTGCGGTGCACGACGCGGTGTCGGGGGTGGTGCGCGACCAGGTGTCAATTTTGACTATGTTGGTGCAAAAAACTCATGCATAAGCAGAGCTCAGATTGGCGATCCATGCAATCACAAAACAGACCCAGAAATCTTCAGACCCTTGACCTGGATTTATGTTTTAGACATCCAGAAACACATGTCACAAGTTCCATGTTCACGATTCCTTTGGGTGTTGCAGCCCTTGGAGGCTTCGTTGGTTTACCAGGACTAGTAACAAGAAGCTACTAGGTGGGCGCCATCGCTACTAGGTGGAGGCCATCGCTATCAGGTTGGAAGCCATCCCTACTAGTAACAAGGAGCTACTAGGTGGAGGCCATCTACCAGGCCTTGGAGGCTTCGTTGGTTTACGATTGGGGGGTCCGATCCGATTGAAACGAGGCTACGCCTTCCTCTTTCTTTGCGCCACCAGTCACGCTTCAGCTCCACTGACTGCTGTCAGACTCAGACGCTTTGCTGTCTGCGTCAAGCATGGTTGGCGGTCTGCTTGCAAGACCAAATGGGCACGGCAAACTCCAGGCATCTCTCACTTCACATGCAAGGAGAACCTGTGCAGCTGAAATACATCATCGTCGATGATGATTTTTATCACCACCACTGCCACAATTCATCAATTCATGACCCACTATCCTCACACTTTATTTGCACAAAATGTCAATGAGCATCAGCCAAGAAACTGATGTAATGCAGGCGCCAACAACAGGAACGCTCATGGCGTTGCCGGCCAGAAGCCGGTAAAGATGGGGTTTGTGTGCTCCACTCAAGTCCAGCATCGGCAGGTTGAAGCCGTGACTGGCCGGGGACAAAGAATGATCTGAGCCAGTAGTAGCAGTATACAGTATACAGTACAGTATAGTATATTATATAGTCTATAGTCTATAGTCACTAGTTGGTAGTCGGGGTAGTAGTACGGTAGTACGGCGGTAGTACTAAGTACGGTAAGGGTGGTGGTGGTGGTGGTGGTGGTGGTAGTAGTAGTTTTACAGTAGGAATGAAGAAAGAACAGTAAAAAGACACCGTAAAATTACTGTGACTGTAACTGTATTGTGTTGTTGTGCTGATTTTCGTCCTCAAAACATGATGGCAAGACAGTGCCAACAGGTCAGGCCCTTCCAAAATGGAATGTGTCCTGAAATCGTAGATCTTTGAATTAGTGGTCAGCCTTAGCAGCAAGCACAAGCTGCAAAGAAGAAGCGGACATGACATAAGACTGTGACAGAGACAAAAAAACAAGAGGGACACAACAAAGAACTCAACCTGAAGAATAGAAAATGAAACATGAAATATGATATTGGCCAGGTCCAGTCTCCATCGTTTTCGGTCTCAGTCTCAGTCTGAGTTTAAGCATATTAATTACTAATTACTACTGGTACAGTAGTATAGGGATTCAGCGGTCGATGATTTGGGAAAGGAGCGTTGGGCTCCGTCCGTCTTTCCGTACAACGCCTCTCTGCAGACTCTTGACGACGTCGGTGACCATGTTGTGCCGTTGAGAAGCCTGGGCCAACAGGCACTTGTAGTTGTAGCCAGTATTGTTTGAACACATACGGTAAGGTAAACACAACTGAATCTGAATCTGAATGAATGATTATCAATGCTCAATTTCATTCTCTCAAAGTTGGCTGAGGTGCATCGCAGGAATGCCACAGGAGATCCAACTGCTCACATTCTCTCGCGTTGAGAGTTCTTCCCCACGACGGGCCGACATCTCTCCGGCATCTCAGTGTATACCTTGTGGCGTGCGGGCAACCCCTTAAAAAAATCAAGTCCAATCCAGTCAAAATGGACGGTCACCGGCTTGGGGCAAAAATTGTTCAATTGTCCAGTTACATAAATTCACAGTCTCAGTCTACTGTGTGTCACTTCCACCTCTACAATAATTCTGGGTTGAGGCCCAGATCTGGAAATGAATTACGGCTGAAATACGGTGAGGTAAGGAAATTTTACCTTGCTTGAGGAACCCAATGCAACCAAAATGTGGAAATCAGGAGGCTGCCGGACATGTTCTTCTCCGTGAGCTTCCAACGAAAGCTCCTTCCGCACTTTGTCCATGTAGTCTCGCATGCTGCCTTTTTCCTTGGGTCAAGACTCTGAAGGATGGCTTGACACTTGTCAAGCAGGAAGCAGGAATCTAAATCTGCAACAAGCTTTGCAAAACCCCTGTGCCAACACGGCCCAATCTACAGTCAGACACTGTGGTGGCTGGAAAACAACAAGTGGCGACTGGTAACATGTGGTTTCTCTTAGCGCCTCTCAGTCTGTCTTATCTCTCTTGCTTGACTCAGTCGCTCTCCTGAGTCCCTGTGTGTCTAGCTCACTCTAGAAAGGTGAGCCTCTACGCTGATCGAATGATCACGTCATGAAGAAATCTGGGCTGCGACCGGAGGCCTGTTCGCGCCTTCCTGGCACAGCAACACAGAAACAACCGGCCTAGTCTTGCTTACTTAGACCGTCTAAATACTGTACAAGCGGCCAAAAATGCCTGTGTCACACGCATCCCCAGCGTGTGTCCAGCATACGGCCGATTCTTCCGGTTTCCGGCGCATGTCTCATTGCCCCTTTTGGGCCGCGGCTTTGCCCTTTGCTGCCTTGGACTCCTTTGTGGAATTCTTGGCTTCAGCTGGTGGCTTGGAATCCTTTGCTGAACCCGCAGCAGTGTCCGGCTCCGCATCAGCCTTCGCCTTCATGTCCTGCAAAACATGCAGAAAAACCGTCCAATCCAAATCAATCCAATCCAAAAAATGTTGGGCAGCGGCAGTGGCAAGTGGTCTGTAAAGTAGTTGAACTGAGTTACAGTTACAGTCACAGTAGTTAGTCAGGGTCAGAGTTAGTTAGAGTTAGAGTTCGAGTCAGAGTGTCATGTCACAGTCTCACCCCTTGACCTTTTTCGTGCAATTTACGCATGCAATTTCACTCAATGTCTGGCCGCTAATTCGCTAATCCAATGAGTTTGTTACCTGAGACCCAGTGGACAACAACGCAGGGGCCTTGTAGCACTTGTCCAGGCGCTGAGTGAGCTCAACAGGCAAATCCTTCTTGTTCAACTTCAACACCTGGGAGGAAAACGCACGAAAGCTGACAATGTCTTT